TACGGTGATAGGGCGACTGGTAGTTGAATCTTCCCACAATGCTATAAGTAGAAATGACGTTTCCATGGAGTTGTACTTAGCCTTGCCTCCCTAAAACTTGTTTGCATAAAAGATGGTCCTCAGTTTCTACCTCGCCTGGGTCTGATCAGCACTCTTTAGCGGGACTCAAACCATGACAGTGCAAGGTATGATCTCGACACAGTAACCACTACCCTGCTTTACCATGGGCGCCCTTGGGTCACAGGGGAGATGTGCATTTCAAGGAAGACCAGAAACTTTCCTATTTCCCATTCTGTGGATGGATTTTCGATTTAAATGATCTACCAGTGGTTTCTGTAACCTGCTTATAAATGAAATATGCTTCGAGATCCACTAGGGGCATTAATGTGACCTATGCACGTTTGAAGCTGCATTCACTTCTGAATGAGATTACCTTCTGGGAAAGTAAGTCTATGTGGAACTCTAAGGTTTACTGATAGGATCGTGAGAAAAATTCGACCCTTATCATCTTAGGCGAAATTGGACGAGTACATTTCATATATAAATGACCTTCTAGTAGTTCTGAAAGCCTACTCATAAATGAAACTTGAAATAAAATTTTCTTTTTAAGTCTTTCAGGAAGCACAATCTTGCCTGTATTCATCCTTTTGCGTTAAGATCATAAAGGACCGATAATTGAATTTTCTCGCAATGCAATGCTTAATCTCACGCTTCCATGGAATTTCACATAGCCCTGCTTAGTGAAGGTTACTCTTACCATTGTTATACCATTCTACTACCAGTCCATCTTCACCCTGAGCGAAATAGGGTTAATATTGATTGTATACACGAGCTACTGGTAGTCTCGAAAACTACTTATAAACGAATATACCAGTTCGGACTCATTTCCCATTGCATCGAGGGTGAGTGTGTTCACGATGGAATTTCCCACACAATGATATGACTTGAAAGAGGCTTGAATGTCATCAAAGTCGCCATGGATTGCTTAAGTTGATTTAAGAAAGGTTAGTGCAATTTTCCCACAATACCATTGGATTTCACTTGAGTCCTGCCTCCCGGGCGGTTTCTTTAATCAGAATGGATTACAATCTCGATTTAGTCTAGGTCTTGTCAGCATGCTTGGTCCAACATGGATGAATTTCATTACTTTATGAAACCCCAAATGATAACAGCTGGACAAGAAATCCTATCTTGAAGTTTGGCCAAGCGAACTTTGCTGGCATAATGAGGCCTATTCATATTATTGTCGTAAGATTCCTCTATTAGGCCTACAATTATCATAAATGGGTTGCTGTTCCTGAACTAATGGGAGTTTCGAAACACGTTCACACGGAAAATCGAGTGAAATCACAGCATCCTGAACGCAATCGTCACCGAGCTTCACTGGGTCCAAATCGGCCAAGGAATCGTCGCTCCAGCCGACTTGGGTGAACTTCCGCTAGTCTGGAGCTGCTGTATGGGGTACAGTTTGTTTTTGCGCATTACCGACAGACGCATAGGACGCCTGAGAAAAAGCCAATTTACAGATAAATATTTTCTGAAAGCTCTCTCATAGTGACAACTATTAAGAGGCCGGTCGGCTTGAATCGAGTTTTAAAGCCAACACACGCGCGAAGGCATACACGCATACATATACACTTATGCACACACTAATGCGCGCATACACATAACACATATATATATATATATATATAT